TATTACCTGCTTATTTTGATGGGTGTTACATAGTACGACCCGTTAATCTATCGGATATGACACGAACACAAGAAACACGACACGAATGCCAAATCTAACAGCAACTAGAAGTTTTAACTTGCAACTGTGGCCGATGATGAATATCGGTGTTTTCTTGTGCACTTCGCGTGTTTAACATCGGATTAGTCTCGTAGTTTTTTTTAATAAAATTGGTTTTGAACAACTGTTTTTTTTTTATCTCCTGCTATTAGTAAGTGTGAATTTTGCAATATCATTGTATGAATTGTTCTCCACATCATGTATAATTTGCATCTTACACTATGTTTTGACGAGAAAAATAAACTTAGAATTTAGACAAAAGTTAGAATTTATAAACTGACATGCACCAATTCTCTTGTTTGGATTCATAAAACGTAGAAATTTAGAATTTTCATGTGAAAAACACTTAGAATTTGATACCTCTAATTCCTAAGTTTAAATTTCATGTAAATAGATATCATTTCCCAATTTCTATGAATGAGAGTTTAATAATAACAAATTCCGTATTCAAATTCCATTACACTTAAATGAAGAAATTTAAGATTACTAAGGAATTTAAAAATGATGAAAATTGAAATGATAAGATTTTATTTTCTAGAATTTGTAAATTTTCTTTTTTGGTTAACCTAAAAAACAATGGAATTGAATACGGAATTTGTTATATTTAATGTCACAGCCCGTCCAGGGATTTTCTTATTAAGGACGTGAAATGACGGATTTACCCTTAGCGGGTATTAAGGTATGTGTGTGTGTGACGTTATTTGGATTAACTTTATATAAGTTTTGGAAAAAATATATTTAAATTTGGATGGATTAAAATTAATGGTTTTGTAAATTTGTATGGTTAGGGTTTGATGTTGGGTTTGTTTGGAGACCACACACACACCCTCGGGACATTTCCCTTTTCCTCCCCCTCTTTCCCGTGTCTCTCTCTCTCCTCCCTCACGACCCTCTCTCACCCCTCTTTCCCGTGTCTCTCTCTCTCCTCCCTCACGACCCTCTCTCACTCTCTCTCACCCAAAACGTACGGCTCACACCCAAAATCCCCCAAAACTCAGTGGATCGAAGCAACCAAGGTATGAATCTTCATCCTCATGATGTTTTGAGTTGATTGGTGCTAGTTTTAGGACGTGGAACCTTCGATTTCACGTGAACCCGAATCCCCCATTTTTGGTCACTGTTCATGCACACGTGAAATGTTGTGTTTCGGGGAATTCTAAGCTTATAGTGAGCTTAGTGAGGTCCCAAGGAAGCTCGGAGTGCTTCGTTTGAAGGATTTGGACGTCGGGATCACAAGGGTTGAGTTTGGCCGGTTTTGCTTGGATTTTTCCGTTGAGATTTAGTTGTTTTTGGAGTTTAAAAATAGTGTATCGTGATTATACATGTTTGGGCCTTCATTTTGGTATAAAATACGAAGAAAATGGTTGAGAAACGAAGGAGAACAAGAAGTTTTAAAACTCGCCGGAATTCGGCTACCGGAAAAACCAGTCCGGCGACTGGCTGGGGAAGATGACGCGCGTGGAGGGCGCGTGTATCCGTGCGTTCCCTGGCACGTGGGGGCGCGTGCGACACCAAAAAATTTATTTAAAAATTTCTCGACGTCCGTGACGTCGAGTAGGTCGATGTGATGTATTCATATACCCAAATTGAGCATCGTATGAGAAGTTATTTCGAATTGTTGGTTATGTGTTTAAATTAACGTTTTTATAGTTGTTTCGCATATAGGTGACACCTATCCCGAGGACGAGCGCATCCAGGGACGTCACGGGGGTTACGACCCATCGACTTATCAGTGAGTGGGCAGTTTTGTTTTCGTATAACCTATATACAACTGTTTTCCCAGAAAATGCGTTTATATGAAAATTATGATTTAAATTGCCATGCATGCAAATGTTGAGATATTTAGTTTGATAATTGATGCATATATATGTTAATTGACACGGTGGATGCACAGGTGAGTTTTTATATTATTCAGATGAGTTATTTTATGAGAATTGCATTGAAAGCTCATAACCTGCACCCTAGGTGTTAGTGCTTATATTATTATTCACCACACCGCACGCTCGCCTTGGATCCAAGTAGGTGGATGTCGTACAGACCATGTAAGGGTTCCGACATGCTAGTTGTATAGATCACTAGATGTGATTCCGACTAGTGGGTGACCTTAGTTATGCGCGCTGATGATTGATGAGAGAAACACTAGAGTGTATTTATACACCTTTCATCGTACAGACTACTATACGTAGTTCCGAGTGATGTGCAGTGTAATGTCGTACAGGTCACAGTTGGTGACTCCGGCAGGGCCGTATAGGTCACTGTGTTGACTCCGGCTGAGTGGGATGTTGAGCTTTAGAATCAGCCGTACAGGACCATTGTAGGGTCTCCGGTTGATTTATTATTTCACCTGATTGATATTGATGCATTTTTTATTATATTTGGCATGGCGTGGCATATTATTTCTGAGATGTTATGTTGATGGATATGAGTTTTGATGATATGTGTATATATATGTTTATATACTATTTTTCTGGGAAAGTATACAGGTTTTACGGTGAGGGGTTAGAAATGTTTTAAATGAAATGTTTTGGAAAATCTTTGATTTTACTGACCCACTCATCTTTGTTTTGCGCCCCTCCAGGTTCTAGTTAGCAGTTGGTGGCTCTCGATGTCTTTTTCCGGCATTCTGACAGACGCTCTACATGTAGGACCCACCTGTAGGTGTTGTACTTCTATTTTGGTCCTACTTGACTGCACTTAAACCTATGCTCTGAATTTATGTGTTTACCTTATAACTCATCCTTTTATTCTAGTAGGTGGTTCTACTAGAGATTGGTTTGAATTCCTTCATATTCTGTTATATCTTGCTTTCGTGTCGCACTTTTGGTTACGTCACGCTCACGTGACGGCCAGCACGCCTTGATCCTCTGGGTCGGGGTGTGTCATTTAAACTCTCAATCATAGAAATTGGGAAATGACACCTACTTACATAGAATTTGAACTTGAGAATTGGAGGTCCCAAATTCCAAGTTTTTTTTCACGCATAAATTCTAAATTTCTATATTTATGAATCCAAACAAGAAAATTGGTGCATGTCAATTTATAAATTCCGACTGTTATCAAAATTCCAAGTTTATTTCTCTCATCCAAACATAGTATTATTCTTTTGGGTTAACTAAACAAGAAAATTCATAAATTCTAAAAATACAATTCCATCATTTCAATTTCTGTCGTTTTAAAATTTCTTAGTAATTTTAAATTTCCTCATCCAAACAGAATCAAGGCACTTTTCATTCGAAAATACAATTATAGCCTTAACCTTCCTTTTCCTCAAGGGACTTTTCATTCGAAAATACAACTATACCTCAACCCTAAACCCTTTTCATTCAAAACCTTCATCTCTTCACATTTGACACGTAATATTAATCTGATCACCTCTAAATTCGTAAATATTCTAAGCTATCTCCAGTTGTATATCCCCTTATATCTTTCCTTCATCACGTCACATTTTGTCATGTTAGAGAGAGAAGGGATTACAATCCGTTACAAGACAGATTCTCTCGTGAATTTGGCATCAAGACAGATCCTCTCGTGAAAGCTACAACATGCTGATAGAGCAGCCAAAAAAATTAAAAACTCACCCTTCAACTAAAACAATAAATTGAAGATATCAGCACCAAACAAGTAAGTTTCAACAGCCAGGTCCACCAACACCAAGTGTAATTAGATTGATTGTCTTAAATTCTTACTTCCTTTGACGCGGATAGGTTGCTTGCTTCTCAGAAAACGCCACCGAACATAAACCACATCCTCAGAAGAATGAAGCAACTAATCCATTTGCAGCGAATGGAAAGTCACCACTTGGCGGTTATCTACACAAGCGTATCCCCAACCAGATTGAGTGTTTAGAGGGATGAACATTCCATGAACCCAGAGGTGTTGATGTTGGATCAGGTTTAAGGTGTGGATGCTATTAGGACAGACAGATGAGACAGCCTAGCAGGACATATCTACTTCCAACATCTCAAGGAGGAAAAATTCTAAGGCATATTGCGGAAATCCATGTTTGATTTAGATAGCATTTGAGCTCTGAAATGCTAATGTTGTCATGTCTTCACTACGTCAAAAATTCTACGGTTACATTTTTTACCAAATACTAATGGTTAAAAAGCTCGGAGTATCTGATACTCTGGAGCATCATAAAAAGTCTCGCCCATAGGAATTATTCACTTCTTAGCTAAAACTTGTGGGAGAGTGAAATATTTTTCATGTTCTCATCTGAAGAATGTTCCTGGAATTCCATGAATTCAACTACTTGTTGATTTCAGGAAATCTAATCACTTAACATCTTCCTTAGTTAGAGAAAGATGATCCCAAGTCAAAAGTAAAAAATCCTTCACCTGACTAGCTAAGTCAAACAAGCAAACTAATTCTACACAAGAAACCAATTAGATGTTTTTCTGATCTAATAGTTTTCCAATTCCAATTGGTTCTAATAAGAAATAAATTTTAGAAGAATAAAGATAATAATATCAAACACTAAAGGTAGGTTGATGGTGACTCTGATATCGTTAACAAAGCATTAGTGTTGCAGTAATTTAGCAACATTAAGTCTTGATTGCACATAATTACTCACATCAGATAAGTTACAATCAGAAGTCAGAACCCTTAGAAAATATAGTTCCAACTAATTAGATGTTGATACGCCACAGTATTTGGAGGGGAGGGGGTGTTTCGAACCCAGGATGCAGTAGTTGCAAGGCCGAGACCTTATAGTTCCACCTAATTATAATCCTCAACAATCAATATACACGTTCTATTCTTATTTTTTCTAGTCCTACAATACAAGCACTTCATTTTTGTGCAGAATTACTCCACCTAAACCTATAATTCAAACCGTTGCATCAACGAAACACCAAATTCAAAACAAACAAGCTAAGCAATGCGCAAAAAACACACAAAGATTCTTGCAAAAGAGAATCAGCTAAAATTTCATATTGATAGAGGGGCAAAATAACCAAGAACGTGTTTTACAAATTGGATTCGGAGGAGAAATTTTCCCTCCATCAAAATACATGCATGTGTTCAATTCAAAGGGCAGCATATCATATACAGTTACACAAAAGGGTCAAGTGAAAGAGAAACACTTACATATTCCTCCCCATCACCAACAATTTAAAGCTAAAAAAAGCAGAAAAAAGAGCTCAACCCTTTTCCCCTCCCCCCTCCCCCCACCATCCTATACACTCCAATTCCACTTAACATTTGATCCAAATCCTCCTCCTTTTTCATTCCATCCAAATCCTCCTCCTTTTTCATTCCACAAATAAAAAACAATAATAAAAACAAAATCAATCAAGTAAGAAGGAAAAAAGATGAACAAATCGTACCCGAATTTCGGTGGCAGTCAAAATGAATGGTTCTTTTTTGCTTTTGTGGTTTCGATTCAAATCTTTATTTTCTGTCTTTGTCAATGAGTTGTAACTTTGGACCTCTTCTTGGCCTCGCTGTAAAGCACCACCCCCATGATAGTCACCGCGAACCCGGTCATTCCCATAGCCGTGACCGGATTCCGGAATATCAACACCGATACAACCGCCGCCACCGCCGCCTTGGCATTGCCGAGAACCTGTAGTGTGAGCGCGCTGGTGTGCTTGGTCACCAAGAAATTAGTCAAGTTAACCAAATACGCCACCGTGGCATTGCCGACCAACAAAAAAACAATAAAGGGGTCGGTTCTCGCTTTCTCCACCGTCTTGGCCGCCACGTTGCCCTCGATATAGAGAGTGAAGGGGAGGAGAATGCAGGCCGCCATTGGAGCCATGTAGAGAAGCAAGTTCATGGAGTGGAGCTTCTCAGAATCCGAGGTGAGTAAAATCCCCTGCACCACCGATTTTAATGCCCGGCCGGCGGTGGAACCCACGCAGACCAAAAAACCGAACAGATGAAACAGCGGCTCGCTGTTGCTGGCCAACACGATCCCGAAAACGACGGGGAGAAGGGCGCCGTAGACCTCGGCAGACTCCTTTTTACACGTGATGACGAACGCGAAGATGGCGGTGAAAAAGGGGGTGGTGGCGCCGATGGCCTGGTTGAAGGAGACGGGAAGGTAGCGGAGGGAGGTATTCCCGCAGACGACGGAGAAGCAGAAGATGGCGGAGAGTGCGAAGATCTTGAAAAACTGGCGGCGGGAGAGGATGTACTGACGTGGCACGAGCTCGAGGAGGTGGATAGCGACGTAGCTGTAGGTGGCGCAGGAGATCATGTGGAGCATTGTGAGGAAGATCGGGTAGCGGAAGCCGTAGAAGCTGAGGAGGTACTTGTTGAGGAGGAGGACGCCGATGTTCGACAGGTACCAGGATGCAACAATCGCCGCCGTCAATATTGTCGGGGAGAGGAGGGATCCGACGGCGGAGGAGAATCCGTAGCTCGTCCGGTTGCGAAAGTCGGCGGGGGGAGTAGCCGGAATGTCGATCACCTGGTCGGGCGACGTCGTGTCCTGCAGCCGCGGGTTGCTCATACGACGCGTCGTCCATGTCTGTGCCTCCACCATCGAGGGCAAAATGGGAATATAATAATTCAAACACCCCCAACGGCCGGCACACTCTCTCTCTTTCACTCTCTATCTCAGAGATCTGAACAAGTGAGATGAGACAGAGGACGAGGATTGACGATTGACGACTTAGGGGGTTTTGGTACTTACGGTCTGTGTGATCGACGGTGGAAATTTAGATTTGGGAGGAGGGAGGGCTGGTAGCCGTAGGATTAGGATTAGGATTAGGATTAGGGGTATTAAGATTAAGTAAGATTCCTTGGGAAGCGAAGGGAGTTAACAGTGTCGGTGTTTATCGTTGGTTGTACTGTGATTTTCTGGTTGCGGGGGGACTCTGCGGATCTGTCCGCGGCTTTAACATTTTACTGTATCTGTAAAAATTAACACAAGTGCGTGGGAGCAGTCTGCTGCTTGAGAACTCCCCATCCAATCACAATGAATTTATTGGTTTCTTAATGATTCTTAGGAATTTAATTAACGGGTTTTAAAATCGTATAAAATAGGTAGATAGTCATAAATATACTTACATGTTGTTGGAATCCAAATCTCGCATATTTGCAAGCGGAGCGAAATTCAATTAGAATCTCCTATGAATTTCGGCGAAAGGAGAATGGGGTTTATTGGGGGTTTGATTAAATTTAGATTGGACTGCTTACATATTTCTAAGGAATGAGAATAACTGGTGTTGTTTTGTTTGGGCCTGAAATACTGGGTTTGGGCTGAGACTAGAGAACTCGGTTTGAAAGATTGCCCAATGACGATTTCTTAGGCCAGGTGTTTTTGTTCACAAAAGTATAATTCGTCCGAGTCCTAACTGGGCAGGACTCTTAAAAGAACAAATCTAGTCCCAGCTCGGTCGAGTTTTGATTGAATTAACATTGTTAAGGATCAAATTAGATCAGGTTTTGATAAGATTCGAATTATTCAAAAATCAAAACATGCGACTGATCACATAAGAAGTGAATCAAATGCATAAGAGAACTAGGTTTAGAGTTCTAGTTCAAGTCAAAAATGTTGAAGGCTTGATAGAGATTGAGTTTCACCAGTAGAGGGTTTGATGAGATAATGTCAAGAATATCCAAATGTGTGCTGAGGGGTCATAGTCCTATTTGGACTCTACTTTGGAAAATTTGGTCATCACGAAATTCACCTATATAACTACAAGATGCTTAGCAACAGGAAAGAGACCTTCAACTCAACAAACAAACAAATGCTATGCGCAAAACCTCGCTCTACGTGAACCCTTCACACACTTTTGAGAAACTACTAATTACCCTAACCCTTCCATCAACACATGTTTAGTTTCGAGTTTGGATGGTTAGCTATCCAAGTCTTTGCCAGCGAGGAGTCCTTGATTCTCTCGTTGAACGAGGTCACTTCATTAGCTTTCTCGATGAAGTGAAGTGTTACTTAGTGTTCGGCATATTGAACCCAAGGGTGAGACGTGTTTCTTCCTCGGTTGTGATTCCTCGAGTACAAAAGTCAGCACCGCATTCAACGCTATTGTGGAACAAAAAATAATCAAGAAAATCATAGAGGTGACACATGGACTTTTGGGTAGAAAAGATAAAATTACCCTCGAGGCACACCAGGATTCCCACGCCCAAGCAATGGATAATAATGACTCAATCAAGGAAGAGTCAAATGTGATCAAAATGGTATTTATTCAAAACCCTCTCATCACTCTTCATCAAATCCCCACTCAAAAGGTAACTCTCAATTTTCCTATTCTATTGGGATTAATTACCAAATTAATTGCAAGATATTATTTGACATAATATCTTGTAATTATGTTAAAAAAACCACCATAAGTGGCCGGTCCCTAGTTCTCCAAATAGGGGCAGCTACACCCCTATATATAGTCATATTTTTTCTCCAAAAAACTAAGTTCATTCTCTTCCTAAAAATCCCTAAACATTTTCACTCTAAAATTCTAACTTTGGCATCTGAGATTCTTTGGGCACATGAGGCTCTTGGCCTTAATCTTAGGTGTTATTATTTTGCAAGTGCATTTTCGTCAAAGGAGAAGAAGGCGGAAATTTGCATCCATAAATTAGTGCTTTCATTGAGAGTTTGATTCACACGCTCAAAGAAGACTCTCGCATCCAAGGTTTTCCATTGTTTTGTTCATTCGTAGATTTTTCGTACGTTCTTATTCCTAGAAATTTCTTATAAAAATTCTTTGAATAAATGTAAAAGAAAAGTACAATGACAAGAAATTCAAAAACCAGAACGAACGGAACTTACTACGTTCAAGGATTTGGACCACGACGACCCACGAGGCTCAACAGGACGACGAGTGGAGTGGCACCACCCCCACAAGGCACCACCGTAGTAGCAACCACGACAAGGACCCTCAGTGAGCTCACTACCCGTAGTGAGCAAGCCATATCGTAACAGCAGGCCCAAGCCCGTGCTACAAGACAGCCAACCCAGATTCAAAGGACCCAAGCAGCAGCGGCAATTGGAGTAGCCCACACTTTGGAGGCCCGATACCGGCGCAAGCCCAGTGCGCCTTAAAGCCAAGTTGCGTTACTTCAGCCCACACTAGGCCAAGCCCAATGTGAGCTGGCCCGAGCCCAATGCACTCTCTAGTTGAGCTCAGGCCCAGCACCCACGTGCACTGCATGTGGAGTAGCCCACTCTCGTGGCCTAACCCACTTTCGTGGCCTTCCAAGCAATCCAAAAATCGCGTTCGGAGTCCATTACACTTTTAGCACCTATGGAGAAACCTACCATCCAAGCCCTTCCATCTCGCATGGCGAACAACACTTGTCCCAACAAGTTATTCAGTTGACAAGTGCCCTCGCGCAACAGACGACCTTGGTGAATCAGCTTTTATAGTGTACCGAGATACAGCATGCCTCAGACGAGGTGTCCCGAAGTAAGACCAGGGTAGACGACAAACCTCTCCAGAAATGTCCTGGTAAGCAGCCTCTTAACCAGCCACGATCTGAGCGTTCTAGCAGTTTACATTTCCACTTGGGTCATCGGGATATCGTATACTCTCATCTTAGTGCGCGAAGGATTGTGCACTCCCGATCAAGCCCACATATAACCATACATTCATGGTTGATGCCATACTCTGATTATCAACATGGATAACCTTCCTGGCAGACTGTTTATTCACAACTAGGCTCACAAAGAGCATTCTTCGGCTCACATCTGAGTAGGCAGCACGACTAACGAAAAGAAGCAGTCACTCAATTCGACTCAAGTTCAACTGGCAGCTTGCAAGCAGGTTGCTTGCTTACTAGGAATGTGTCATATGCACCACAACCACGACATATACGAGTCAAGCATAGGGAACAGCAGCCTAAACCAATAGGTCACGATCGGGGGTAGCCGAAAGTTCCACTACCCCAGCAGAGGCAAAATTAAGAAGAAGTTATGAGGCTCCTAACTAAACGATTGCCAATTTCCAGTTCAATTAGGCTACTGACAATACGCTTCGACGAGACATGACCAACATAAGTAGGTCACCATTCATGGATGAGATCGAGTGGACAGATCCATCTCGTGGGTTCACTATGCCTCACTTTACTTCGTACAAGGGAGACAAAGATCCGGATTGACATCTCAAGCACTACCGCAGTACCTTGATCATCTATAGGAACAACGTGCGCTTATATGCAAAATTTCTGCCACAACTTTACAAGGCGAGGTGCAAAATTGGTCTCACACCCTACTACCCCAGTCATTCCGGAGTTTCAACGAACTTTCCTTAGTTTTCACTAAGGAGTATTCGTTTAACTGCTCAATCAAAAAAGGCATTCGGCCCTCTCTTCAACATCTAAGAGACCCTTGTGAGGCAATTCGCAATTGTGTCAAGAGGTTCAAAGCGGAGAAGGCCAAGATTGTTGGCTGCAAATAAGACATGGCAACGGCAACATTCAGAAATGGGCTTCCCACTAAACACCTTTTATTCGAAAAATTGATCATAGGAGAATAACTGACCTTGGTAGCTTCGTATGCTTAGGTAGAGAACCACGTACTATAGGACGAAGCCAAGCAGTCTAACAAAAAAGATTCGAATAAGAAGCGCATGGAACGTTTCCTGACCAGAGAAGACTCAACGTCCAAAACATTCACCAAGTTCATGGTTCCAATCGGAAAAATTCTCCGTAAGCTTAAGAATGAACCTTGGTTCGAACTGTCACCACCCATAAAGGGCGATCTTACTAGGCTGGATCAGACAAAGTATTGGGTATTCCATTAGGGACCAGGCCACACTACCAACGGCTGCCTAAAGTGGAAGCAGTACCTTGAGAAACTGACAAATGAGGGTCGGTGTGATGAGTATCTTAACAGGTCAACGACACGCCCTAAACAAGTAAGGGAAGCCTCTATCACCCCCTGAACACCGTTAGGGCTTTTCCAAATAAGTTCGAAGTCTCAAGCAACTCGACAAACAAGACCTCGCAATCCGAGGATTATCCAGTTTGTTATGCAATTTCTACTTTTCAGCAATTGATCCATTTCTTTATTCTCAATGAAGATTTAAGAAGTTATTCATAAGCTTGGCTCAACTGCTGTTTACAACAACTGCTCATACCCCTATCTGGGTTTGCTCTCCAGTACGAGAAGATAAACTAATTGCTTTCTAGTGCGAGAGGGTAAACTAATTTCCCGACGCCCATATAGGTCTTCTTTCCAGTACGAGAGGATAAACTAATTGCTCTCTAGTGTGAAAGGGTAAACCAATTGCCCAACGCCCACATGGGTCTGCTGTCCAGTGCGAAAGAATAAACTAATTGCTCTCTAGTGTAAGAAGGTAAACTAATTCCCCGATACTTATCTGGGTCTGCTCTCTAGTGCAAAATGGTAAACCAATTCCCCGACACCCATATAGGTCTGCACTCTAGTGCGAAAGGATAAACTAATTGCTCTCTAGTGTGATAGGGTAAACCAATTCCTCGACACCCATATGGGTTTACTTTCCGGTGTGATAGGATAAACTAATTGCTCTCCAGTGCGAGATGGTAAACTAATTCCCCGACACCTATCTGGGTCTGCTTTCCAATGCGAGAGGATAAACTAATTAATCTATAGTGTGATAGGGTAAACCAATTCCACGACAACTCAAAAGATCTTCTTGCACTGGAGAGTAATTAGTTTATCCTCAAAAGATCGAATACTTGAGAACCACACAGTTCAAAAGATCGAATACTGGAGGACCAACTAAGCAGCAAATGGTCAGTAAGTAGCAGCCACTTCGCATTCAACAGTTCACTTATTCGACACTTCATGTTTAACAACTCTGATCTTAGCAGCTTCGTCCTTGATTGCTCTATCTAAAGCAGCTGAAATATTAAACTTAAGCAGTTTCCTCATTCTTGGCAAACAGCCTAGACGTGGCAGCCCAAACCATGTCTC